GTTGGTTCACTAACAAAAAAAAATAAAGTTTTAAATTACCTACAAAATACACAAGCAGATATATGTCTAATACAGGAAACACACCTCTCACAATATACACAAAATAGCTTAAAAACTACACATTTCAACCACTGTTTTTCCTCCCACTATAATTCAAAACAAAGAGGAGTATGCATCTTAATAAACAAAAAAATACAGTTTAACCACCATACAACCATTTCCGATCCTGAAGGCCGTTTTATCATTATTAACATTTCAATCAATAATAATCCAATCACAATTGGCAACATCTATGGACCAAACTCTGATGATTCCTCCTTCTTTGCAAATTTCTTCTCCTCTCTTTCAAACATTTCCAAAGGTCCAATAATTATAGGGGGAGACTATAATACTGTAATCAATCCATCATTTGACAGGTCAAAACATACATGTAAATCTCCGCAATCCTCCAAAACAATAAAGCAGTTCATGAGTGATTTTGGTCTTTGCGATGGTTGGAGGCTACAACACCCACTCGCCAGAGAATACACCTTTTATTCTAACGTTCACCAAACCTACTCCCGCATTGATTTCTTTCTAGCCAGTAATTCAATCATACCAAATATTTTAGAAACCAAAATACATCCGATCACTATCAGTGACCACTCTCCGGTAACTCTCACATGGAACCCATCTGCAATACAGAAGCACCCCACCAGATGGCGTTTTAATACATCACTATTGAAAGATCCAGAATTTGACAGTTACTTCAAAAGAGAGTGGACATCCTTCCTTGAAATAAATGACTCTCCAAAGTCGTCAGCATCACTGCTCTGGGAAACATGGAAAGTAGTTTTACAGGGGAAAATTATATCATATTCATAATTCATTCATAAACACAACTGGAAGAAAGAATAAAAGAACTAGAAATTTTACACGCAAATAATCAATCAGAAAGCATCTATAAAGAAATTAGAGAAAACAAATTTTTGCTCAATGAAATAATAAACAAAAGAAACCAATTTCTGATTCACAGGCTCCGTCAAGAAACTTTTCACCATAGCAATAAATCCGGAAAATATTTAGCCAGTCAAATTAAAAGAAATAAAGAAAAAACAGCTATAACCTCCATCAGAAACTCGGCAGGGAAGCTAACCAATTCACCAGTTGAGATAAACAGGACATTTCAAGATTACTATACTAAATTATCCGATCTTGATCCGATCTTGATCCGAACCAAGAAGACATAACCCAATTCCTCGATAACATCATTCTACCAAAACTCAACATGGAACAAATAAACACACTAGAATTACCAATCACAAAAAAAGAACTTCACTCCGCACTGAAAAGCATGCAAAATAATAAAGCACCAGGTCCAGATGGCTTCCCTGCTGAGTTTTACGAACATTTTTGGTCAACCTTATACCCACTATTTAGCAGAATAATAACAGAAATAAAACACAATGCAAAGTTCCCTTCCCACATGAATACAGCACTTATATCACTCATTCCTAAACCTAACAAAGACCACACCTTCACATCTAACTATCGTCCTATCTCACTCATAAATGTCGACATAAAAATTATTAGCAAAGCATTAGCCCATAGAATCGAACAAATTATACCATATATAATCCATCCTGATCAGACTGGCTTCATAAAAGGTAGACATGCATCTAATAACACCCGCAGATTATACAATTTAATGCATTACTCATCAACACAACAGAAAGATACTCTCATTGCCACATTAGACGCCGAAAAAGCTTTTGACAGGGTCAACTGGAAATTTTTATTCACCACGTTACAAAAATTCGGCTTTGGAGAGTCATTTATTAACTGGATCAAGATTTTATACACATCACCATCGGCCACAGTCACAACGAATGGACTAACATCACAAAGCTTCGCACTGCATAGGGGGACGAGGCAGGGATGTCCACTCTCTCCATCCCTATTTACCATTTTTATTGAACCTTTAGCAGCAGCTATCCGTCAAAACCCAGCAATCAAAGGTATTGAAACACCACAACAAATACATAAAATCTCACTCTATGCAGATGATATCCTACTATATATATAAGAACCTAACATCTACTCAAGAAATAATCAAAACAATCCAGTCCTTCTCAAAAATATCCGATTATGCAATAAACTGGAATAAATCCTCCATCCTCCCTTTACATAAAACCAAATGGAATGTGGCACCCCATCAATCACCAATACCTATTTGTCAGGATCACATCACTTACTTAGGCATTAAGATTTCCTCCAGACTGTCAGAGTTGGTAACACTCAACTTCACACCACTACTTAAAAAAATAGAAGACGATTTGCTCAGGTGGCTCAACCTCCCAATCTCCATAATCGGCAGGATAGCAGCAATAAAAATGACGATTCTACCAAAAATTAACTACCTATTCTCAATGATTCCAACCTACCCCACACTCACCTGGTTTAAATCACTAGACTCCATTATAACTCACTTCTACTGGAAAAATAAAACGCCAAGGATAAAACTCACTACACTACAAAAGAGTAAGGTTCAAGGAGGACTAGAAGCACCAAATTTCCAATATTACTCAATGGCTAACCAACTGCAATACATATACAAATGGATTCACCCCACCCAATCTGATATTATATGGCTAGCTATAGAACAATCACTATGCAAATAATTAAATATAGCTGACATACCATTCCTCACCAAATCAATTAAACAACACACATGTTTTAAGGCAGTAACTATAGCCTCCACTCTGACAGCCTGGTGGAAATTTCACCAAATCACAAACTCTACATTAGCTCCATCTAACCTCACTCCACTATGGAACAACCGTGATTTTATAAGCAATAAAAAAACATTGAATTTTCACACATGGGCGGAAAGGGGTATCACCCACATTAAGCATATTTTCAAATCCAACACATTTAAACCATTTCCACAACTGGCTCAGGAGTATGGCATCGGGAACAACGAATTTTTAAAAAATACCTACAAATCAAATCTTCTGTCCTGGCAAAAATAAACATCAGAGATACAAATTTAGAACTTCCACCGGCAATATCAGACATGGTCAACATTTCCTCTCCAAAAAAACTGCTCTCTAAAATATACAAAATTATCTCAAATCAACTTCAGACTATATACTTACCAACAATAAAATGGGAAAATGATCTTTCAATAGCCACTGATGCCAACTTCTGGACCCAAATCTGTAAAAACGTCTATCTCATGTCCAAAAATGTGAATCTTCAGTTAATACAATACAAAATACTCCACAGAACACATTACACAGGCAATAGATTAGCTAAAATGGGTTTCACATCAGAATTTTGCACACATTGCAATCAAAATTCTACAGATACATACATCCATGCAACCTGGCACTGCACTCCAATCAAACACTTTTGGGAAGAGGTCACACAATCACTATCCACTATAGTTGGCTGCCACATCCCATTGTCGCCTTCCCTTTGCTTGCTGGGGGACCTCACAATAATCACTGATAAAACTATAAACTCTAAAATACTCCTCATAGTGCTAACCATCGCCAAGAAAACTATCCTCATGAACTGGAAAACCAGAAATAAATTACACATTAACATTTGGAAAAATCTTATTACAGACTTCATTGCAATGGAACTCGCATCTCCCCTTCATAATTACACATCTGAAACTGACCTCTACCGTCCAACACTTTCTGACCTCTTACAGCTATGAATCCCTTCTCTGTTCTTAACTCAGACTATAACCAACCCACGAATATTTGTGCATTTTAGTTGTTCGAACTTGTTTTTGTCATCATTGTTATTGCTATCTTTACTGTCACTGTTATGATTACTATTTTCACTTTTATTTTATTTTTTGTTGTTTCATTGTTGTAATTGCTGTTGTTGCTGTCCTTTGCTCTCACCGTTGTGATCACCACTGCCATCATCATTGTCATTTATTATTATTATTATTATTATTATTACTATTATTATTATTATTATTATTATCATCAATATTGCCATTGTCAATGCTGTAGAATTAGAATGTAGAACTAGAATTAAGCGTCATTGTCATCACTAATGCAATAACTTCCCCCTTATCTCTTCATGGGTTTTTAATGCACCACAACATAGAAAAGGGAAAGAAAAAAAAAAGAAAAGAAAAAAAAGAATAAGTATATTTGGAAAAACATCGCAAACATCAAGGCAGGCAAGACAGGCGAGAAGTAGTTTCAACGGGACAGCATCTCTGGCCCAATTTGAGACATTCTCGCACTGTACTCCCTCTTTTAATGCACTTTAGACATTGCACATAACACACACACACAAAAAAAAACAGAAAAATAGGAAAAGATAGGGACTGATGAGATGTGGGGGAAGGTTGTCTTATATTATATTATATTATATTATTATATTATCATATTTTGTACAGGATTGACAATGGCAATTGTTACATAGGAGGAAGGATGGAAATAAAAATCTACAAAAACAATATGGGCAGTATGGTGGTAGTGGGGAGTGATGGTAATGACAATGGTAATAAATAATAAATGGTTACTTTGTGTACACACGCATACACATACCCACGCTCATACACGCTCACTTACACACTTAGATCAAACACTTAAATCACTCTTGCCACTGCTGGAATTATGGATTTACAAGATTGCTCACTACTGCACTATGTTGGTTTGTTTGTATGTATGTCTGACTGTTAAATATAAATAAAAATAAATAAATAAAAAATAAAAATAAAAAAATAAATTACCCACAATAAATGTGGTTTAGATTACTTTATTTTGATTACTTAATCAATGTAAAGCAATTTCCTTTTAATTTGATAGTAACTCATTTAATTAGCATTCATTCATTTTGTAATTCAATAACATAATTTCATTACTGGTAACTAGTCACTCCACAACCCTGCATACAATTTGTTCATATATATATAGGCTATATATTATATATTATATATATATATATATATATATATATATACATATATGTGTGTGTGTGTGTGTGTGTGTGTGTGTGTGTGTGTGTGTGTGTGTGTGTGTGCTCTTGTTTTCATGACAACTGAGGACATTTTTATGATAACACACCTGCAATATGAGGACACTCGGAAAAATGAGGACATTTTGGGGGTCCTCATTTTTCCGAGCTCACTAGACAGTTGTAGATGCTCCTAGAATGCCTCTAAACCAAAAATCTCCAAAGTCCTGAAACATCACAATTTTTTGACATGAAGTGTTTAAGTGTGTTTATGTTTTTTGCTCATTTGCGGATACGCCAACTAGTGGTCAGATTTGGAACTTTAACACACTTTTAACACACATTGACGGCATCAACGGGTCCTCATATTGTACGTTTTCATAACCACAATTTATGATTGTTGTTCTTTATTTATGACTTGTTAATTTGAAATATATGTGATATCTATCATGTGAAGCATTCTTGTTGTATGCTGTTGTGATGATTGTTGTATGATTTGAGTCATTGGTTTCAATAATAATAATAAAAAAATAAAAATAAAAAAAACGTTTTCATAAACAAACTTTTTAAGCTAGTTTAGAATTAGCCTACTGTAATTCACATACATATAATCAGAGTAAAATAATAACATCACCAATTTACTACTGCTAATTAAGTATCATGTTTACTAAGTAAAGTAAGTTCCTCAATTTATTTAAATTAATCAGCTGATTAAGATAACGTTAGCTTATGTTAGCTTACTAAAAGGACGCATCATTATGGATAGGTGGGCCTGGGAATATCTGGACTCTTCTTTTTAAAAGCTTACATTAACACACATGTATTTTAAAAATGATAAATAAAAAGAACTTGCAGATTGCAGAATTTAAATATGCCTAGTTTTAGTCATGTCAGAATATCAGAGACACCAACCACCATGTCAGATAATTAACTAGCTCCACACATAAAATAAGAAATAGGCTACTACTATAAAAACAGATCTAACACTGCAAAACTCTGGTTATAAGAGCCACATCCAAACTGAACATGCATATTAATTAAAATAAATGTAATTAATATTAAGAACTTACGTTCAGAAACAGCATAAAGACGCCACAGTGGGCCAGCAAAAAAACACGGCCTGGAGCTGCCACATAAGGTGGAGTCTCTTCTGGACTTGGAGTCTGGAGTTGAAAACCTTGATTATGTCATAATCCGAACTATCATTAATGTTTAATATATAATTGGGAGTCTAAATGGCCAAATGACCAACTAAATAACAGCAGTAAGTGGCACTTTCCTTCCATCGTTCGGTTTTCTGTTTGGACAAGTGAAGTGCAGCAAGCATGCTATGGGCCGGGCCGGCTTTTCCCGCATACCCAGAACCACCGACTGTCTCTGCTGCTGCGATCTCCTCAGGCTTGGCCTGGTAAGTGGTAACGTTAATTAAGTTAATTAACGTTACTTTTCTTCATTTTCAACCACAACGACAGTTATTCTTTGAGTATATGTTAAATTTGACCGTTTTAACAGAAATGTATTCTTTGCATTACACTTGTAGCTGCAGTTGCACGGTGTTAGCATCAATCAATTAGCCTAATTAGCTCAAATTAATGACATGCATTGGTGAGAAAATGAGTAATGTTAATCATGTAACATTATTTCTATGGGCAGAGTAATCCTATTTTATTCAAGTATGGGTCTTTTTTGGTACTTGTCTTGCTGACATTTTGTCTTTAATGTCTATGTAGTTAACTTAGATCTTTGCTAATTGAGGAGCACATGGCTGAAGAGCATGTCAAAAAGGAGAACCAGACTTAGTCCTCAGGCTGAGGCTATTCAGTTTATTTTATCTGGACGTGATAAACCTTGTTTCAAAGTCAAGTGGATCAGTGACTTCAAAGGTATGTCATATATGGTCGAAATTTAAATATTTATTTTATAAATCTGATAGCAACTGTTACAGTGCACAGCATTAAAGGGTTAGTTCACCCAAAAATTAAAATTCTATCATCATTTACTCACCCTCAAGTTGTTCCAAACCTCTATGTGTTTAGCACAACAAATAAACACATAGAGGTTTGGAACAACTTGAGGGTGAGTAAATGATGATAGAATTTTAATTTTGGGGTGAACTAACCCTTTAATGCGGGCATACACTGCGATTTTAGTCCGATTTTGAAACGAATTCTGATTCGTGTGACTCTTTTTCAGGTCGGACCGATTTTCAGCTTTGTCGTGCGTTGTTTGTCGTGCAGTGTTCATGCACTGTACAAGGGGAAACGAGAGGCGATTAACCTCTCCCGATCTACAATCGGATGGTCGGATGAATTTTGGTCGCTCCTCGTGACTATCGCACAGTTGATGCAAAGCTACGAACCGATTGCCCTAAGCTCAGTGTTTTTTCCCTCACTGCGCCTGCGCGAAAACAGAAGTTTAACCATCATCTGCAGCAAAAATAAAATCATAATATAAACGAAAAGAGGGAGATCTTTAAGTTCTGTAGCTCAAACCAGCTACACCTCTTTTATTAATTTGTTAAACAATGTTTTTGAAATAAACCTTTTTTGAATTTTTTTTATTGATAGGGGTGTTCCGATCACCATTTTTTGGGCCGATCACGATTACTAGAAGCTGTATCACCCGGTCACCGATTACAGAGTCTTTTTGAAGCCTTCTATTAATCATGTAGCATTATTATTAAACTATAACAACGATGTACATTAATTATTACATTTAAGAGAAGACAATGTATCATGAATTTACACCTGTGCAATTATTTTATAGGCTAGTTTACTATAAAATTAAGAAAATAAATATAGAACAAATGTATAGCACAGCTGTTTAATGAGGTAGCAACATATGATAGATAGGACGGAACAGAACAAAAAAAATGCAATTAATAATCTTTTATTGCGCAAAATTATTATGATATGATTATGAAAGACTCCAATAGAGTACTGCACGCAGCGCTTATGCACATCGCGAGCGCTGAATGATGCGCTTGAGGCAACATGAGTCACAGCGCGCAGCTCTTCGAGTCCGTTTGGAAAAGTTCTAAGCACAAAGAAAATACATGTCGATGCATAGTGTATTATACAGTATCTATCTATGCAATAGTTTATTGAGCCTTTTCTTTCAACAGTTTTAAATTTCAGTTACTGTGCGCGTGAAGAACAATGATCGTGCTGTCCAGTGTTGTGATACACATGGTATAAAGGAACATGATTGAGGCAAGAGAGTCAATTTATGCGAAACCAGAGCTTTATCTACAGATCAAGTATAATAATATTAACATTTAATCATCTTGGAGAGAGTCTTGCCGAACGCGACGCGCTGTGCTGTTTTAATGCTGAATGGAGAATGACTGACAGCGGAGGGAAAAATTTACGTGAACTTGAATTTAATGACTTAAACATTAATTTCTATCGCACATTATACTACAGTATGGCTTCATATATATAATGAGTTTTTGAACCCAACCTGAGTGCTCGTTGCCGCGGCGATCAGTGGATACAGTGTTCTCTGTAGCTCGCGCAGTCTTCACTCGGACGTGTGCTTCCGTCGTGGACAGACTCTATTCTTTCCTGTGATTTTACGGGTTGATCAGAGAGGCTGCACAGTTTGACAAGCAGACAGCGGCGTGGTACACACACATTGCAGATGGATTGCTAGTGAATTGCTTTTTCGCACACCTTGTACAATTGCCAGACAGCTGAAGCCATTTTTACCAGGGCATAAAAAAATTGTCTCGCAAGTTTTGCGTCATCTGATCGGCTTTTCTGGATCGGCCTTTATAAAGACCGCCAATCACACATCCCAAAGCAATTATCGGCCGATTGTGATTGAGCACCCTTATTCATTGATGATTAATTATTGAAATGTTCGGACAAATTATAGACTGTTAATATTTGTTTATGCCTATAATTCATTGTAATCGACCTAAATGTTTAAGACAATTTTCAATGAGGAGGAGTAAGCTTCTATGTAATATTTTATTATCCTCACAGCACGTTGGTTATGTGCTGTAAAATTATTGCGTGGCAAATTAATTATAATAGCAGATCAATATAAAATAAAATGTAGCCCTCCCCTAATAATGATAATACAATAATAGATACTAGTAATGCATACATTTTTTAATAAAGTGCATGCAGTAATTAGAATGCTAAATCATTTTGATATTGATAGCTGATGATTGTTTTGACAATATCTCTGGATACATGATATCGTCTATAGGCATAATCCAGGGGTTTATCACAGATATTTCACATGTATAGTGTGAGCAGTGAAGTCGCAGCTCGATGATCGGACCGTATAGTGTGAGCATATAAATCCTAAACTTTGTCTTTACATCGCATGCGATTTACTCATTGAGTGTGAGTAGGTACCGTGCTGAAATCGCACAGACATCGCACAGTGTATGCCCACCTTTAGCCGACTTAACCAGCCACTGTGCAACATTAACACTCGTATATTATTTATTTTGCTAAAAAGTCTGATATTTGTTTATTTTGTAGTTTGTCAATATTTCGTTAATGGGGATTAATAACTAATATTGCTTGCATAACTTGACACTATTTCATTAATTTTTCCTCAGGACGTGGTGTATTTACCTGCACACCAATTGAAAAGGGATCGTTTGTCGTTGAGTACCGTGGGGAGTTAATATCACAATATGAACAGAACAAGAGGCAGAAGAAGTACACAGAAAAACAAAATGCTTTCTTGTTTGATTTTCAATGGAACAATGGAACATGGTGGTAAGTCATAGGGGTGTTAACCGACACTGGTTTCATGGTTCGGTCCGATTACGATTATCATGTCATCGATTCAGTTCAATTAGATATCACGATGCATCGCTATGCACCGCATCCTCAATTTAAAATTTTACTTCAGAAGTGATTTGTGTGCCTGTTCGCTGTGACAGAAACAGTGACATTCCAGACAGTATAAGTTTCAAGGGAGTAAAGCTTGTTTATGCCATTAAGAAAAGGGAAATCTGTCAAATAAATTTTGTTTCAAAGAAATGTTCATTTAAAAGCAGCGCTCATTAATCAGTGTATAGTTACCATTAAAGATGCGCACATGAACCGTCGCCGAATCCGCTGTTGAAGGTGACGATCATCCATTTATAATCAGACGTAACACAGAATAATTGTAATTTGACCATCGGGTGCGGATACTTAAATCAGAGAAAGTTATTGGGGCGGGTGGATGATTTATTTGGCTGTGGATTCGGGTGACGTTGGAGCTCATCAGCTTACTCTAAAGCAGTCAGACTAACTGCAAATGGCTAATGTGGTTTATCCAGTTAGTGTTATAACCTCCTGCATATTCTATTTGTGCATGACATGAAACATGAGCGCACATAGCGCATGTCTTCTGCAGGTCGTGATTACCAGGTTGTTCATAAAAGCCGAAATGTGCCTAGATGTCGGCTTTAAAGTAGTTGGAGCATTTTTAATTCACTTGCACTCGAGTCTCATCTCCCTCTGCCATTGTATGCTACCGCGACAAAGCACGTACACGACAAATGACGTTAGAAAAGCATCAGTAAATTATAATGGTCAATGGTCAATTACTGAACCGATACCGAATCGTCCTCATCTGCATCGCGATGCATCGTTAAAAACGATAAATTTGGACATCCCTTGTAAGTCATGGCTTATTCAAGATCAGTTATTCTCTCTGTGTTGTTTTGTGGAAAAACCTTTTGTTTCCTCCTACTTTAGCATAGATGCGTCCCGCGAAGACACTTCACTAGGGAGGCTGGTGAATGATTGCCACAAGTCGCCAAATTGTAAAATGAGAAGGTTGACAGTTCAGGGTAAACCTCATCTTTGCTTATTCGCAATTGAAAACATTCAAGCAGAGACTGAAATAACCTACGATTATGGAGATTCTCAATGGCCATGGCGTAATCTGGTAAGTAAGACCTCTTGATAGATTATGGTATAGGATCTGTTCAAATATAATTAGTTACATTTCCCTTGTCCCCCCTCAATATCTCCTTGTGGAATTACTTTACTGATGAAATTGTATATACTATGTTCAGTTAATTATGCACCATGAGGTGTGCTTGCATGCAATGAAGATCTTTAAAAAAAGTAAAATACTAGTAAATATTTCTTTAAAAAACATAAAATACTAATTGTTTGATTAAAAGAAGGGAAGGTAGAAAATGGTCTTTCTGGCTTTGTCTAATATGCATTGATACTTTTTAATTGAAACTTATTGTTGTATTATAGTACAATTTATTTCTGACTGATTATTGTTGTTATACTTCATTGCAGACACCAAGTGGCTTGACCCAGACTCAACATTCAGGAGACCCAGAAGTGAGCGAGAGATGCAGTTCATCCTTCCAACAGGTGACTACACATTGACTCTGGATTTCTTCTAGTTTAAGGAAGTTACCCCTAACATTTGATGGAAGTAACTAACCCTCAAAACACAGATTGTTAATTTTCACAAAATTCAATGTTTTTATCTACTTCAAACACATTTATGGCCAATGTAAGCTTCTGCTCTTCAGTTTAATGGTTTAACTTCTAAGGAAGTAGATCCCTGTCCATTACTGTGGAGATTTTAGCTTTCTTTTACTACAACAGTGTGACTTAGAAAACAGGAACGCTGATTCTTTGGGTGTTCGGTCGTCATGTCCTCATTTTGTTTTAGGCTGTGAAAGATAAAACTGTGTTTCAGACGATGTCCTGATATTGTATGTTTCAACGTTTAGTGTGTGTGTGTGTTTAACAATGTCCTCATATTGTGGGTAACCGATATTGTACAGTTTTAGATATTTCTCTCGAGTCTTGAATGAAAAGCCCAGGTCCTCACATTAGCTATTTTTACTACAATTTGTGTTCCTTAAAACCAAAGTTGACACAGCCCTTGACTTCAGCAATGAGTCTCACCCCAAAGGTGATTATGATAGATTGGGGTTGGGATTTTTGAACTGAAATGGGCAGGATCATTAGTTTATTATAATTCTGAATATTTCTGACTGATTATTGTTGTTATTTCATTGCAGACACCAAGTGGCTTGACCCAGACTCAACATTCAGGAGACCCAGAAGTGAGCGAGAGATGCAGTTCATCCTTCCAACAGGTGACTACACATTGACTCTGGATTTCTTCTAGTTTAAGGAAGTTACCCCTAACATTTGATGGAAGTAACTAACCCTCAAAACATAGATTGTTAATTTTCACAAAATTCAATGTTTTTATCTACTTCAAACACATTTATGGCCAATGTAAGCTTCTGCTCTTCAGTTTAATGGTTTAACTTCTAAGGAAGTAGATCCCTGTCCATTACTGTGGAGATTTTAGCTTTCTTTTACTACAACAGTGTAACTTCGAAAACAGGAACGCTGATTCTTTGGGTGTTCGGTCGTCATGTCCTCATTTTGTTTTAGGCTGTGAAAGATAAAACTGTGTTTCAGACGATGTCCTGATATTGTATGTTTCAACGTTTAGTGTGTGTGTGTGTTTAACAATGTCCTCATATTGTGGGTAACCGATATTGTGCAGTTTTAGATATTTCTATAGAGTTTTGAATGAAAAGCCCAGGTCCTCACATTAGCTATTTTTACTACAATTTGTGTTCCTTAAAACCAAAGTTGACACAGCCCTTGACTTCAGCAATGAGTCTCACCCCAAAAGGTGATTATGATAGATTGGGGTTGGGATTTTTGAACTGAAATGGGCAGGATCATTAGTTTATTATAATTCTGAATATTTCTGACTGATTATTGTTGTTATACTTCATTGCAGACACCAAGTGGCTTGACCCAGACTCAACATTCAGGAGACCCAGAAGTGAGCGAGAGATGCAGTTCATCCTTCCAACAGGTGACTACACATTGACTCTGGATTTCTTCTAGTTTAAGGAAGTTACCCCTAACATTTGATGGAAGTAACTAACCCTCAAAACACAGATTGTTAATTTTCACAAAATTCAATGTTTTTATCTACTTCAAACACATTTATGGCCAATGTAAGCTTCTGCTCTTCAGTTTAATGGTTTAACTTCTAAGGAAGTAGATCCCTGTCCATTACTGTGGAGATTTTAGCTTTCTTTTACTACAACAGTGTGACTTAGAAAACAGGAACGCTGATTCTTTGGGTGTTCGGTCGTCATGTCCTCATTTTGTTTTAGGCTGTGAAAGATAAAACTGTGTTTCAGACGATGTCCTGATATTGTATGTTTCAACGTTTAGTGTGTGTGTGTGTTTAACAATGTCCTCATATTGTGGGTAACCGATATTGTACAGTTTTAGATATTTCTATAGAGTTTTGAATGAAAAGCCCAGGTCCTCACATTAGCTATTTTTACTACAATTTGTGTTCCTTAAAACCAAAGTTGACACAGCCCTTGACTTCAGCAATGAGTCTCACCCCAAAGGTGATTATGATAGATTGGGGTTGGGATTTTTGAACTGAAATGGGCAGGATCATTAGTTTATTATAATTCTGAATATTTCTGACTGATTATTGTTGTTATTTCATTGCAGACACCAAGTGGCTTGACCCAGACTCAACATTCAGGAGACCCAGAAGTGAGCGAGAGATGCAGTTCATTCTTCCAACAGGTGACTACACATTGACTCTGGATTTCTTCTAGTTTAAGGAAGTTACCCCTAACATTTGATGGAAGTAACTAACCCTCAAAACATAGATTGTTAATTTTCACAAAATTCAATGTTTTTATCTACTTCAAACACATTTATGGCCAATGTAAGCTTCTGCTCTTCAGTTTAATGGTTTAACTTCTAAGGAAGTAGATCCCTGTCCATTACTGTGGAGATTTTAGCTTTCTTTTACTACAACAGTGTGACTTAGAAAACAGGAACGCTGATTCTTTGGGTGTTCGGTCGTCATGTCCTCATTTTGTTTTAGGCTGTGAAAGATAAAACTGTGTTTCAGACGATGTCCTGATATTGTATGTTTCAACGTTTAGTGTGTGTGTGTGTTTAACAATGTCCTCATATTGTGGGTAACCGATATTGTACAGTTTTAGATATTTCTCTCGAGTCTTGAATGAAAAGCCCAGGTCCTCACATTAGCTATTTTTACTACAATTTGTGTTCCTTAAAACCAAAGTTGACACAGCCCTTGACTTCAGCAATGAGTCTCACCCCAAAGGTGATTATGATAGATTGGGATTGGGATTTTTGAACTGAAATGGGCAGGATCATTAGTTTTTTATAATTCTGAATATTTCTGACTGATTATTGTTGTTATACTTCATTGCAGACACCAAGTGGCTTGACCCAGACTCAACATTCAGGAGACCCAGAAGTGAGCGAGAGATGCAGTTCATTCTTCCAACAGGTGACTACACATTGACTCTGGATTTCTTCTAGTTTAAGGAAGTTACCCCTAACATTTGATGGAAGTAACTAACCCTCAAAACATAGATTGTTAATTTTCACAAAATTCAATGTTTTTATCTACTTCAAACACATTTATGGCCAATGTAAGCTTCTGCTCTTCAGTTTAATGGTTTAACTTCTAAGGAAGTAGATCCCTGTCCATTACTGTGGAGATTTTAGCTTTCTTTTACTACAACAGTGTGACTTAGAAAACAGGAACGCTGATTCTTTGGGTGTTCGGTCGTCATGTCCTCATTTTGTTTTAGGCTGTGAAAGATAAAACTGTGTTTCAGACGATGTCCTGATATTGTATGTTTCAACGTTTAGTGTGTGTGTGTGTTTAACAATGTCCTCATATTGTGGGTAACCGATATTGTACAGTTTTAGATATTTCTCTCGAGTCTTGAATGAAAAGCCCAGGTCCTCACATTAGCTATTTTTACTACAATTTGTGTTCCTTAAAACCAAAGTTGACACAGCCCTTGACTTCAGCAATGAGTCTCACCCCAAAGGTGATTATGATAGATTGGGGTTGGGATTTTTGAACTGAAATGGGCAGGATCATTAGTTTATTATAATTCTGAATATTTCTGACTGATTATTGTTGTTATTTCATTGCAGACACCAAGTGGCTTGACCCAGACTCAACATTCAGGAGACCCAGAAGTGAGCGAGAGATGCAGTTCATCCTTCCAACAGGTGACTACACATTGACTCTGGATTTCTTCTAGTTTAAGGAAGTTACCCCTAACATTTGATGGAAGTAACTAACCCTCAAAACATAGATTGTTAATTTTCACAAAATTCAATGTTTTTATCTACTTCAAACACATTTATGGCCAATGTAAGCTTCTGCTCTTCAGTTTAATGGTTTAACTTCTAAGGAAGTAGATCCCTGTCCATTACTGTGGAGATTTTAGCTTTCTTTTACTACAACAGTGTGACTTAGAAAACAGGAACGCTGATTCTTTGGGTGTTCGGTCGTCATGTCCTCATTTTGTTTTAGGCTGTGAAAGATAAAACTGTGTTTCAGACGATGTCCTGATATTGTATGTTTCAACGTTTAGTGTGTGTGTGTGTTTAACAATGTCCTCATATTGTGGGTAACCGATATTGTACAGTTTTAGATATTTCTATAGAGTTTTGAATGAAAAGCCCAGGTCCTCACATTAGCTATTTTTACTACAATTTGTGTTCCTTAAAACCAAAGTTGACACAGCCCTTGACTTCAGCAATGAGTCTCACCCCAAAGGTGATTATGATAGATTGGGGTTGGGATTTTTGAACTGAAATGGGCAGGATCATTAGTTTATTATAATTCTGAATATTTCTGACTGATTATTGTTGTTATACTTCATTGCAGACACCAAGTGGCTTGACCCAGACTCAACATTCAGGAGACCCAGAAGTGAGCGAGAGATGCAGTTCATCCTTCCAACAGGTGACTACACATTGACTCTGGATTTCTTCTAGTTTAAGGAAGTTACCCCTAACATTTGATGGAAGTAACTAACCCTCAAAACACAGATTGTTAATTTTCACAAAATTCAATGTTTTTATCTACTTCAAACACATTTATGGCCAATGTAAGCTTCTGCTCTTCAGTTTAATGGTTTAACTTCTAAGGAAGTAGATCCCTGTCCATTACTGTGGAGATTTTAGATTTCTTTTACTACAACAGTGTGACTTAGAAAACAGGAACGCTGATTCTTTGGGTGTTCGGTCGTCATGTCCTCATTTTGTTTTAGGCTGTGAAAGATAAAACTGTGTTTCAGACTATGTCCTGATATTGTATGTTTCAACGTTTAGTTTGTGTGTGTGTTTAACAATGTCCTCATATTGTGGGTAACCGATATTGTACAGTTTTAGATATTTCTATAGAGTTTTGAATGAAAAGCCCAGGTCCTCACATTAGCTATTTTTACTACAATTTGTGTTCCTTAAAACCAAAGTTGACACAGCCCTTGACTTCAGCAATGAGTCTCACCCCAAAGGTGATTATGATAGATTGGGATTGGGATTTTTGAACTGAAATGGGCAGGATCATTAGTTTATTATAATTCTGAATATTTCTGACTGATTATTGTTGTTATTTCATTGCAGACACCAAGTGGCTTGACCCAGACTCAACATTCAGGAGACCCAGAAGTGAGCGAGAGATGCAGTTCATTCTTCCAACAGGTGACTACACATTGACTCTGGATTTCTTCTAGTTTAAGGAAGTTACCCCTAACATTTGATGGAAGTAACTAACCCTCAAAACACAGATTGTTAATTTTCACAAAATTCAATGTTTTTATCTACTTCAAACACATTTATGGCCAATGTAAGCTTCTGCTCTTCAGTTTAATGGTTTAACTTCTAAGGAAGTAGATCCCTGTCCATTACTGTGGAGATTTTAGCTTTCTTTTACTACAACAGTGTGACTTAGAAAACAGGAACGCTGATTCTTTGGGTGTTCGGTCGTCATGTCCTCATTTTGTTTTAGGCTGTGAAAGATAAAACTGTGTTTCAGACGATGTCCTGATATTGTATGTTTCAACGTTTAGTGTGTGTGTGTGTTTAACAATGTCCTCATATTGTGGGTAACCGATATTGTACAGTTTTAGATATTTCTCTCGAGTCTTGAATGAAAAGCCCAGGTCCTCACATTAGCTATTTTTACTACAATTTGTGTTCCTTAAAACCAAAGTTGACACAGCCCTTGACTTCAGCAATGAGTCTCACCCCAAAGGTGATTATGATAGATTGGGGTTGGGATTTTTGAACTGAAATGGGCAGGATCATTAGTTTATTATAATTCTGAGTATTTCTGACTGATTATTGTTGTTATTTCATTGCAGACACCAAGTGGCTTGACCCAGACTCAACATTCAGGAGACCCAGAAGTGAGCGAGAGATGCAGTTCATCCTTCCAACAGGTGACTACACATTGACTCTGGATTTCTTCTAGTTTAAGGAAGTTACCCCTAACATTTGATGGAAGTAACTAACCCTCAAAACAAAAATTCTTAATTTTCACAAAATTCAATGTTTTTATCTACTTCAAACACATTTATGGCCAATGTAAGCTTCTGCTCTTCAGTTTAATGGTTTAACTTCTAAGGAAGTAGATCCCTGTCCATTACTGTGGAGATTTTAGCTTTCTTTTACTACAACAGTGTAACTTCGAAAACAGGAACGCTGATTCTTTGGGTGTTCGGTCGTCATGTCCTCATTTTGTTTTAGGCTGTGAAAGATAAAACTGTGTTTCAGACGATGTCCTGATATTGTATGTTTCAACGTTTAGTTTGTGTGTGTGTTTAACAATGTCCTCATATTGTGGGTAACCGATATTGTACAGTTTTAGATATTTCTATAGAGTTTTGAATGAAAAGCCCAGGTCCTCACATTAGCTATTTTTACTACAATTTGTGTTCCTTAAAACCAAAGTTGACACAGCCCTTGACTTCAGCAATGAGTCTCACCCCAAAGGTGATTATGATAGATTGGGGTTGGGATTTTTGAACTGAAATGGGCAGGATCATTAGTTTATTATAATTCTGAATATTTCTGACTGATTATTGTTGTTATTTCATTGCAGACACCAAGTGGCTTGACCCAGACTCAACATTCAGGAGACCCAGAAGTGAGCGAGAGATGCAGTTCATCCTTCCAACAGGTGACTACACATTGACTCTGGATTTCTTCTAGTTTAAGGAAGTTACCCCTAACATTTGATGGAAGTAACTAACCCTCAAAACATTGATTGTTAATTTTCACAAAATTCAATGTTTTTATCTACTTCAAACACATTTATGGCCAATGTAAGCTTCTGCTCTTCAGTTTAATGGTTTAACTTCTAAGGAAGTAGATCCCTGTCCATTACTGTGGAGATTTTAGATTTCTTTTACTACAACAGTGTAACTTCGAAAACAGGAACGCTGATTCTTTGGGTGTTCAGTCGTCATGTCCTCATTTTGTTTTAGGCTGTGAAAGATAAAACTGTGTTTCAGACGATGTCCTGATATTGTATGTTTCAACGTTTAGTTTGTGTGTGTGTTTAACAATGTCCTCATATTGTGGGTAACAATATGTACAGTTTGTACAGTTTTGTACAGTTATTTACAAATAACTTTGTACAGTATATTGTACAGTTTTAGGTATTTCTATAGAGTCTTGAATTAAAAGACCAGGGGCCTCATGTATAAAACCTTGCGTAGATTTCTTGACTCTGGATTTCTTGATTTCTTGACTCTTGACACATTGACTCTGGATTTCTTTTTTTTTTTAAAGTTACATAATTCTTTTTGTTCTCATGTAAATTACACCCCTTTTTACCTTGCTACAACAAACATTTATTGCACAAATTTCTTGTATTTATGAACCAAAATTATTTTCATAATTAGTATTATGTATTTTGTTATTTTCAGTTATAGTACTAAAATACATATTTATTCTTCATCTTTTGATTTAAGGCCAACCACTCCACTGGAGTTACATGCTTCCATCATGTATTTACTGCAGAGCAGGTGAGACAGCTACATTCAAAGTTATTTTTCTTCATTAACTAATGTGAATATTTGCTGTTAGGAAATAGTGTATAATTCCAGGTGAGACTACAGGTTTGTACACATGATGTTTGATTTGAACAGCTTAGAGTAAAACGGCGTCTGCAAAATCTGAAGCGTCATCATGATTGTTGTGAGGATGCTTATGAGAAGGCTGAAAAAGAGAGAATTGCGAGAGAGAGACAGATGACTTTGAGTTTGGTCACCAGAATTAATGATTCTGTGAGTATGTACATCCAAGCCTAAATCAAACCATCTTGTAATTATAAGATAAGTATTTATTAAAAGTCTTTAGTATTTTAATGTTACAAGAACATTATTTCTATAACATAAATTAGCCTAGCTTTTTAAGAGTAGCTTAATTTCTTACTCCAAAGACTTGGTTATTCTGAGAAACATTGACATCTAAATGTATTTACAATTATATTAAAAAAGACATTTGTTTTTGCTTTCAATCTGATGCTAAATTAAATGGAGATTATTAATTGGTCTATAACATGTAGAATAGATATGATGCAAATTATTGACAACAGGTTCCTAGGTACATATCAAATATGCACAAACTGGCATTGGGGGAATACATATGATGTCTTGGCTGCAGTCTGAATGGAAGTGGTGTGATGTGAATTTGTGACAATCTGCATTAAGTGGATATAACTTGGGGTGAACATTTCTTTTTAATGAAAATTATTAATCATTTCAAAGGTTGGACCTCCCTCAGTCGATGATGGTGGATTTCATGATGGAAAATCAACGAGCGCTAAAGACCAGGTAATAAATACCAATAGACAACAATAATGAAATAGTAAAACACTAATCATATTAAGAAGCTTGAATGTTAATTTTAATTGTATGTTTTTATAAGCATGTTTAAATGTTGTTATGCACAATGTGATGGTGCTAGGAGAACAATATTCTAGCTATTATTAAATGTTTAATTTATTGATGGAATGAGATGCTTTTCTCTCCATTTTCCTTTAGATGTCTTATGACATGACTGATGAATCTTCGGATGTTACGGACTATGATGATGCCAACTATGTTCCAGATTCAAGTGGCAACTCCTCTGACACAAGTTCTAATAGTAGAGATCTAAACATCATAGACAATCATCTTCCCCACAAAGTGTTCAAGAAAATATCATTGGGCATCGCTACAGCCCACTGTTCGGATGGTACCAACAGTCCCAAGGAGCAGAGAAGTTTTAGTTCCTCAAAGATGAGCAGCAGCCATTGCAGTTCAGTGATGAGTTGCAGTGACAGTTCATCAGAGAACAAATTGCACAGCTCCGTAAATGTCTCTTCGTTGCCAAACACGGCAAAACGAAGCAAGTACAACAAGAAACAATACTGTCTATATTGTAATAAGGCCATTTCTAAATTGGCAAGACACCTCGAATCCGCTCACAGTACACAGCCGGATGTTGCAAAGGCTTTCAGTTTTAATAAGAGATCTCGTGAAAGAAAAGATTTGTTACGCTCTCTTAAGAAGAGGGGAAACTTTAACCATAATGCCACTGTGGCAAGCAGTGGTGATGGAGAAATGGTTGCTTGTCGAAGACCCACTAGAGTCAGACAATCTAATGACTTCAGTCACTGCAAGTTTTGCCAAGGACTCTATGCAAGAGATTGTCTATGGAGACATGTCAGAAACTGCCCTCAGAAGTCTGTTGAGGTGGAGTCTAGAGTTGGCCGAAAACGGATTCACATGGACCTACCAAAACCTGATGCAGTTCATGAAGCTGTTTGGAAGATTGCTTTTGAAATGAACCAGGATGACATTTCTTTAGTTGTAAGAAGTGAAAGAGACATCCTTAGTCTTGGCGAGTCAATGTACAATGGCAGGAAACCAAATGAGAAAAGAAATGATTACATACGTCAAAAAATGAGAGAGATGGCAAGACTCTTGATAACTGCAAGAGCTACAACACCTTTGAAGACCACTGAAGACCTTGTTATGCCCAGTAATTTCCCCCACGTGATACAAGCAGTGAGATCTGTTGCTGGTTATGACTTGGATAGCAACTCCTATAAAATCCCATCATTGGCTTTAAAATTGGGTCACAGTTTGGCTAAGGTTGCAGGCATTGTGCAATGCAAAGCCATCATTGAAAATCGCAATGCCGTCGCAGAGTCTGTCAAGCAATTCGCCACTCTGTATGAGAAAAGATGGGCGGAATCCATTTCAGGTTCTGCACTGGGTACACTTCATCAAGCCAAATGGAATAAACCACATGTTTTGCCCTTTACACAGGATGTGTCCCTGCTGCACAAGTTTCTTGCTACTGAGCGTGCTAAGTGCATGAAGGACCTTGAGGAAGAACCCAACATCAAAAGCTTTGGGAATCTTGCACAAGTGACTTTGACGCAGGTGGTACTATTTAACAGAAGGCGGCAAGGGGAAGTTTCAAAGATGGAACTCCAGGCGTTCACATCCAGAAATCGAACAGAGTTGAATCCTGACATTATGATGGGCCTTACGGAGTTTGAGACGAAGGTTGCAAAGTATTTTGAAAGAGTAGAAATTCGAGGTAAAAGGTCTCGAATGGTGCCCGTGCTTCTAACACCTGACATGATTGCTGCAATGGACCTCCTCATTAAAAAAAGGAGTGAGTGTCAAGTCCACAGAGAAAATGTCTACTTGTTTGCCCGCCCATGTGTGCTTTCCCATTACAGAGGCTCCGACTGCTTCCGAAAGTTTTCAAAACTATGTGGTGCAAAAAACCCAGAGTCGCTCACCTCAACAAGACTGAGAAAACAAGTCGCCACTTTGTCAACAGTACTGAATTTGAAAGAAAATGAAATGGATCAACTTGCAACCTTTCTAGGACATGATATAAGGGTCCACAGGGAATTCTATCGCCTTCCAGAAAGTACACTGCAGCTCGCAAAAGTTAGCAAACTGTTGATAGCAATGGAAAAGGGAAGACTGTCAGACCTGCAAGGGAAAGGGCTGGATGACATTGAGATCAATCCCGAAGGTGAAATTTAGTTTTAAATGTAGTTTATAATTACTTCTCAGATCACAATTATAATTGTATTTAGTCTTTGATTTAAATACTTGGTCCAAACTGTTTTTTTTACTCAACCAGAGGAAGTAGCCACGAGTGATGATGATTCTAGTGAAGAAGCCATTGCTGACCTACATCAACATGAAGGTATACTGACTTATGTGATAACATCTTTAGGTTATGACCAGGGAGACAGACAGTAGAGACCTGATGATAGTGTTAGATGGGCTTAAAGGAACAGTGGTAAATAAATTAAAAAAGATTATGTATAAACATGGTGCTGAATTATTTGGAATCATTGATAGAAAGAAGGTGGACCGGTTTTAATTAATTAATTCTAAACAGCAGCAAGAGATAAAGAAATAGTGAGTGAGAGAAGACAACTAAGCAATAGTTACAGTACATGATAAAGGTAATTAATGTTTTGCTTAAAGTCTGGTTAGCAGTACAGGAGGAGTAAGTTAGGAAAGTCTTTTATTGAGATGTTAAGTCAAAAAGAAATAGGTAACTTGAACATTTAAAGTAAGAGGTAGAGGAATAGTTAACTTAAAAGATTACTCAGATACAGGAAACAATGAGGAGAGATACAGTGTACTTTTTGATATAAGTGGGCCTTTTCAAGCCAGCAGGTTCAGACTTCCACTCAGCTCTTTTGTTGTCTGATTTCATACAATAATACAATCAAACAAACTCAGGGCTGGGCGATATATCGCACGATATTATTATGCGCATCTAATCAGTAAAGCCGGTTCCTTGATTAGTTGTAAATCACCTTCACCTGCTTTCAGATGGAGCGGCATTTACTACAAAGAGCCGTAGATCACTGACAAGCTGAGCCATATCGCGTTAATATCGAGGACGTATCGCCTGCGATATTTAATGTGATATGGCTCAGCTGGTCAGTGAACTACGGCTCTTCGTCACGACAAAATCTCCCGTGTTAAACTAACACACCTGGGAGTGTATATAAGTCCACACTCAAGAGTGTTAAAGTTAATGAGATAATTAAGTGATTAAATGAGTGATGATTGAGCATTATTGAAGACACCTAAAGCAGAATCACAAGAAAAAAATCAAAAATTTTAAGCCACCGTTATGGAGATGAGTGTTTGCTTTAGTTGGGCTCTTGACCCTTATATTATAAATTTTATGTTTTAATTTACTGTTGCATCTGAGTTATATCTTTCAGATGAACAAAAATAAACAATAATAAAATAATGTTGGTCATAAAATGACCATCATTTGATATTTATGTCTATAATTTATTCTGTTGGTTAGTGTATGACTTAGATTCTGCAAAAATGATCAGAATGTTAAACATAGTAGATGGATTTCTCAAAAGTTGTTAAAAAAACCGCTTTCTTTTAGGCACACACAGACCTCAAGATTCAGTCAATGCTTCTCAACAACGGTGACGAGTAGAATATTCAAGTAGGAAAAGTAAATTACATAGACAATTCAGATCATTATTTATTCAAACCGCAATGCATGATGGGAGACATTCATGAGTTGTGATTGGTGGCAACAGGTCACCACGGTTGAGATAGACAGGCTGATTATTGATCTCTGTGTTTCTAAATAAAGATGATAGTGATTTAATCAGAATATTTTTTATTAAACATGTTATAAGAAAAATACAGATATGCAGTTAAATCACAAAACTGTTGCTAACAAGTTAAAGCAAATCATCTGAATATATTTCATTTTTCAGATAAAGCATGACTATGTCAAAACATAACCAATACTGTTAACCAATATCTATTTGTTCATTTGACTGCTATAAGTCAATAACAGCAGACAAACAAAATTTAAAGTGAAAATATAAGTGTCAAGAGCCCAACTAAAGCAAACACTGATCTCGATAACGGTGGCTTACAATTTGTGATTTTGTCCTTCAGCGATTCTGCTTGTGATCATCAGGTGTCTTCAATAATGCTCAATCATCACTAAATTAATCACTTAATTATCTCATTAACTTTAACACTCATATCGACCATCTGAAAGCAGGTGAAGGTGATTTACTACTAATCAAGGAACCGGCTTTACTGATTAGATGCGCATAATAATATTGTGCGATATATCGCCCAGCCCTATTGTCAATAATGCTCATATTTAATTTTTACTTTTCAAAGGCTCAAGAACTGTAACTTCTGGGGATCTGACACTTCTGAGGGACTCGCACGCTTCAACCACCCTGGATAATTTGGAGAGCACTTCTGCCTCAACCGTCTTGGACAACGTAAACTTAAGCAACACTCAACCAATACATGGTAAAATATAAAAGGCAACGACATACAAAATGTGCACACCAAAAAGTGAATGTGTTCATAATGAAAACAATTATTTATTCTTGCCTTCACAGAGACGGCAGTATGTGAAGTTGTGCTTTTATCTGAAATATATTTAAATTAATTGTTTTCAGATTCCCAGCAGAACACAGCACTTCAAGTGGTTACATCCCAAACGTCTTCAAAGTCCTCCACTGTAAAGCAAGGTAAATACTGTAAGCATGTGGATACACCACATTACTCTTTTAGAAGTGAATAAATTTAAGTTAAATTTAATGAATGCCATATACTATCATAACTACTGAATTATCATGACTGGAAATGGCAGACAGGTATCCAAATCACAAGGCTTAGGCTGAGTCAAGGTACACAGAATAAAGGTCAATATAACACTAGTACCCCTTTTCCACCAAGGCAGTGCTGGTGCTGGTTCGGAGCCGGTGCCTGCGCGCGAACCAGTTTTTTGTGTTTAGACAGCCAAAGAACCGGTTCTTGGCCAGGAAAATTGGTTCCAAAGCGGCACCAACTCTTTGCTGGACTAGAATTGTTCTTTTACCACGTCATGCTTACGTCGGGGCGGGGTTATTGTCGAACTTTCTCTGGAACAAAATCTCGGTCTATAGTAATCCAGACGAGCACCACAAATGTGTTCCAAATGTCTTCTTCTGACCCCAATATTGGATTGCAAAGCCAGGAGAAACATTTGCAGACAGACGATGTAGTCCAACATTGTAGTTGTTATGCTTGAAGTTTGGAAAGCTAAGACGTATGGCAATGTACACAGTGACTTAACGACATCTTTCGCTGGGCTCTCTAGCCAGTGGGAAAACACACAGGTCCAGAGAAGGTTCGCAAGTTGAACCAACTTTAAACCAGTACCAGTTCCGAACCAGTTATTTTTGGGTGGAAAAGGGGTTTAGGAGATTAACACTGGGAAACAAACTATGCTGGAACACTTACTGATACAGATTAGACAAATTAGCATCCACAAATAGGGACAGACGTGAAATAAAACGGCAAATACTAAACGGAGAAAAAAAACAACTTATCGGAGAACGGATGTAACAAAATATTATTTTTGCTCAAATCCTCAATGTTTCACTTTAGCAGAACCATTGTTTCATTTTTAATACATTTCTTTTGTTTACATTCGACAGCTGGGAAGGTGAGGAACAAGTGGACAGGTAATGAAGTAAAGGCTGTGGAGCGGCACATGATTCATTTCATAACCAACTGCAAGGTGCCAGGTAAAAAGGACTGTGACTCCTGTCTCCAGGCAGAACCAGTGGCTCTGAAAGACCGAGACTGGGCTGCAATCAAATACTACATTCACAATAGAATCATATCAATGAAAAGGAAGATGTATAGATAGAGGTTCCCAAACCTGTACTGGAGTACCCCCAACACTGCACGTTTTCTATGTCTACCTAATCAGGTGTGTTTGATTAGGGAGACAAAGAAAACGTGCAGTGTTGGGGGTACTCCAGTACAGGTTTTGGAACCAATGAACTAGAACATGCCAACTGTGGCTGAGGGGCAATTTAATTTCTGTTGAACTTGGTTAGAAAAATGCTCACTGTGTACTGTTACAATCAGTGTCAACTTAAATATCCAGTGAAAATGAGTTTCGTTTTGATATTCTCATTTTAATTCAAGGATTGCTATTGATGTTTTCTTGTACAAGCATGTTACAACCTAGTTTTGACTGAGGCTGCCATGTTGACATGTATTCATGAGGGCTATTAATGATGTTTTCTTTTATCCCCAGCCTTTAGACACTTTTTTTTTCTTTTCTTACTACCTCTGGATCATATCATAATGCATTTTTTCAAGTAACTGACAATCTCTTTCATAGAATAAGGTTTAAAAGTATATGTAATCTATACTCTCTGTGTCAACAAGCAAGTACTTTAAAGGGATACTCCACTTTTTTTGGAAATAGGCTCATTTTACAACTCCCCCAGAGTTAAACAGTTGAGTTTTTACCTTTTTCGAATGTATTCAGCCGATTTTCTGATATTTAGAAGAATATCAGTAACCAGACAGTTTCTGGTCTCATTGACTTACATAGTATATATTTTTTCCTACTATGGAAGTCAATGAGACCAGAAACTGTCTGGTTACTGATATTCTTCTAAATATCAGAAAATTGGCTGAAAATGGTAAAAACTCAACTGTTTAACTCTGGGGGAGTTGTAAAATGAGCCTATTTCCAAAAAAAGTGGAGTATCCCTTTAAGGTATTGTTACTTTCAAACATATTTCCCAAGTTTTCAGTGTTTTGTTTTGGATGCTAAAGAGAGTAGTTCTTTCATTTCAAATAAGCTGTCTTTTGTATTGCCTTATCCTGTATTGTGGCTGGTTGTTCAATGATTTAAAAACAGTTGATGAGGGTTGCCATTTCTTAATTTTAGTTAAAGGGTTAGTTCACCCAAAAATGAAAATTAAGTCATTAATTACTCACCCCCATGCTGTACCAACCCCGTAAGACCTTCGTTCATCTTCGGAACACAAATAAAGATATTTTTGATTGAATCTGAGGGCTGGATCACTTTTCCATAGACAGCCTGAGGGACTGCCTCTTGACGGCCCAGAAAGTCATTAAAAGAAAAGGTTTAAATATTCCATGTGCCTACAGTGGCTCAACTATAACTTTATCAAGCGACGAGACTACTTTTTGTGCGAAAAAAAAACGTAAATAACGACTTTATTCGACTTTCCATTACTTCCTTATGGGCGCATGCGCGAGACCTGAGACGAGACCGTTCTTCTTCGACTACTTTTTGTTACCGGCTGCTCACCGCTTAGGAGTTTTACCGCCCCCTACCGTATAAGATGACGTACTGATATAGCCGGAGGCGCAAAACGTTCTGTTTACAAGCAGTACGTCATCTTATACGGTAGGGGGCGGTAAAACTCCTAAGCGGTGAGCAGCCGGTAACAAAAAGTAGTCGAAGAAGAACGGTCTCGTCTCAGTTCTCGCGCATGCGCCCATAAGGAAGTAATGGAAAGTCGAATAAAGTCGTTATTTACGTTTTTTTTTCGCACAAAAAGTAGTCTCGTCGCTTGATAAAGTTATAGTTGAGCCACTGTAGGCACATGGAATATTTAAACCTTTTCTTTTAATGACTTTCTGGGCCGTCAAGAGGCAGTCCCTCAGGCTGTCTATGGAAAAGTGATCCAGCCCTCAGATTCAATCAAAAATATCTTTATTTGTGTTCCGAAGATGAACGAAGGTCTTACGGGGTTGGTACAGCATGGGGGTGAGTAATTAATGACTTAATTTTCATTTTTGGGTGAACTAACCCTTTAAGCCCTAGTTATAATAAGTCCATCCATATGCAGCATTGGTCAGCCAATGAAGGTCAATCATTTTCATACTTGTACCTATTTTGGTTAAGCTATGAATACAAGTAAGAAAGACCTGAAGTGTTTCCTCTTTCTTTCCCATGACATCTACTCTGAAATTCATGAATAGACTATGAGACATTTGAAGACCGTAAATATGAAAAATGTTTACTGAAATTGAGCATGACTATATTGTACACCACTGCTTCTAATGTAGAAAGAAATTTCAAACATTTAACAGCAACCAAGTTGCAAACAAGCACCCTATTTTATTCATTACTGAGTCTTTATAAGTCATTTAAACCTGAAAATGTAGTGTTTCTATGGTCTTCACAAATCACTTAAACATGAAATGACAGTGTTTGTTGCTATGACCTCATAAGTCACAAAAACCCAAACATGTCCTCACAAGTAGCATAAAAATCATGTCTGCCCAAAATATAGCCTTAGACAAAATCTCAACAGATGGATCTATTCCTTGAAACATTGGTAGGAAATTATTTGAAAACCATGTCTGTGGGACCTTGGGAAAGGCATGTCCTAATATTTCACGTTTTTTTCACAAGTCCCGATATATCATGAAAACAAGTATGTGTGTGTGTGTGTGTGTGTGTGTGTGTGAATGTGTGTATATATACTTTTTTTTTTTCCCTAGAGATTTACTAAAGAAATTCTGGGAAATGGAGTTCCACATACAGTAATTACAATTACAATTAAAGCTGCAAGCAGCATTTAGCGGGGTTCAAGCAGGCCTTTAAGGCCTTTAAGCACAAAAGCATCAAAAGACATTAAGTTTTATGTAGCAAGCATGATTTACCATGATATACCATATTTAGAGTCAAGCATATCTCCATCTTTGTTCAAAGTAAAAAAAAAATGATCATACTTTATGATGCTAGTTTTAATTTAAAAAGAAAAAAAAATTAAAAGGTAATTTCTTTGGCATTTCTTTCTTTTTGTTGTATCTAAAACGAACTGAACCATGACACCAATGTATCGCATGGAATCCGATATTGGATTTGACTCAAAACACAATGCTTCACAATTCCTCCCAAAAATCAACCTTGACTTTCAGTAGTAGATGGAAAATATTGGAAATGGAAAACACCATTTACAGCCAATACAGCCAATTTACCATTGGAAATGCATGATTTTAAAGCTTTTTAACAGTTATAGCGCCACCTATGGTTCGATCTCCATGAAACTGTGCATGCTTCTTCAGCATGTTATGTCACATACGCTCATCAATTTTTGTGAAGTTCTGAGTTTTTATTTATTATTTATAGGATTTTGATTGAGTGCATAAAGACAAAAAAATATAAGAATAAGAATGTAGCCTACTGGTGAAAGATTGTCTCTGCTTTGTTTTATAAGAAATATTTCTGTGTCAAGAATTCCAAATTTCCTGTACTCTCAATTTTTGTATAGTAGTGCTACTCATGTTTTAACACCAGGCATGCATAAAAGAGATGTTTCCTGTTTCAAAATCCACTACAAAACATTGGACTGCAATGTATAGAAGAATGAAACTATGGAAGGATTTACCATTGATATTACACATTTTGTAATTAGGAAAATTACTTTAAAAAACTATTTTAAAGGTGCCATCTGTCAAAAAAAATCAAATCATACTCCATATTCCATACCAGATGGGCGCAGTATACCTTCAGAAAGTGAGTTGTGTAGCGGCCGCGCTCATGTGCACTCTCACGTCTTCAAACAACACAGGCGAGCGCTGTTTTGCTCTCTCTCCCTAGTGCATATTAATCAAATCATTTGACACGATAGTAAAAGGTTGGAAGGCCACAGTTTCACGTGTAGCATTTGGAGATTTTTAGAGATTAGAGACTCAATGAACAACATCTCAGCACTAAATTATAAAGTCCGTCTCATAGACGCCTGTATCAAATACAAGCCGGTGCATTTCGACGATATGGGAAAATAAAAAGCCCCGACTATTATTTGTAGTTTAATGGTTTTTTTTTTTTTTTCATATTACATTTCTATTGTTATTTTGAATTAATTTGACAGAGAGCATTCACTGAGGTTGACCAAGCTAGCGCCATTCAGAGCTGCCAACTCTCATGAATTCTTCGCGAGACACGCAATTCACACTTTTCACACGCTCTCACGCCACACATCAATTTTGTCATGCACAGAAAAGGACACAGAGAATGACAGACAAGATGGAGCAGGTTAGTTATGATATATAAAAAATCTCAGCTCTCAGATTTTGTTAATTTTGTTACGCAATTCAAACAATAAATACACTTTTGGTGCTTGTAAATGTTACACGACAAAGTGCACGTGAACCGATCATCTCTACTAGCTAATGGTAAAAGAACTCGAAAACTGTTGAAAGAAACAGTATATTACAACTTACCAGAATGTATTCCTTATGCATAATATCGACCAATAATTTTTTTTAACTCTTCCCAGAACTGAAATGTAGTAGTGGGCTGTTTCCACATGATTGACATCAGGTTCACGTAGATGTAGACCCACAAGCCATGCGAGTTATTCGTGTATTGCAGTTTGACTGATGGTTATATTGCCCGCCCGCATACTGCCTCCCATGGCTGAAACTGGTATTATGACACCTGCCGGGCTGGGGCTAGTAATTTAGCATGCTGAAATAAATTCAAGGTTACTGTAATATCGCGGCAGCACTATAACTTGTTATTTTTTTAATGACATCATCAACCTTATTTCTTCTCATTCTTTTGATGCGTGTAGCTCATTTTTGGGATATTTTAACTTCAATTTTTCCAGATGGCACCTTTAATAACACTATATATGGTAAATTGTTGTTTTTGATATTTGGAATAAATGTTAGGTTCATCTTGACCTAACTTTTTATTGGTTTTGATTAAACATAGTATTTGTATTTGATTGTTGGGACTCCAGGAAGAGAAGGCTAATGAGGATCCAAATAAAGAAATAAAACCAGAATATAGGAAAGAACATCTACAGCCAATACCAACAATTTACTTAGGAAAATATATTTTTGCCTTTTTTTGACAGTAATAGAATCTTGTCTTGCCTGATC